TAATAGCTCTGCCCGTTCCAAACTCATACGCGAGTACATGAACACTATCGTATAGTATTAAGGCCTAGGCACTCGATATTCTCTCTGCCTAAGCAATTTGTTCGCATTCCCCCCCCCCCAAGCTCTCAGACGGAACGCTGATTTAATTTTTCTCGTAATTGTATTAGTGACAGTTTAATTAGCGAAGCTCTGATCGTCGCCGCCCTGTGCCCGGAGCTGATCGTTGCAAATAGATTTCAGAAGAAGCACTTTTAAAGAAAGCACCTCCTAATAAGTAGTGAAGAGTCCTCGCACGTGTTTATCAAAGACAGCCTTTCGTTACTCACCGTCTGAATGGCCTCAAAAGAAACTCGTGTAAAATACTCCACAAAGTGCCGTATCAAAGGGGAAGGCGGGCGCAAATATCTGTTTCGTAAACTAGTAAAAACGAGCTCACAAAGGTGCTGCGTACTCGCGGCAAATTAGGCGGACTTAAATACGAGCGCCGCTCTCGCAAACGTACTACTTTGATACTGACTCCGCGCTCATTATTTATGTAAGATGTCGTAATCGTCAAAAAGCTCCCTCGGGATTTATTTCTGACAATGTGCGCCGCCCGGTCCGAGCTCGCACTCGCACTCGCACTCGCGCGGTTCGCATGTGTATCCATTTAATGCTCAATTCCCATATAATTTAACTTTGCGATCAAAGCGAAATTTTGCAAAGAGCTCCCCGGCGGCGGCGGGCGGGGGGCGGCGCGAGTGGGACGCCGACATCGCAGTCTCAGAGATCAAATGCTGGGCCAAATTAGTCACTCTCCGTCTCTCTATCTCAAAGCCGATCCGTAGCAAAGTTTGCGCGAAGATGACATCAAAAGGAAACCACACACCGGGGTGGCGCCGCCCCCGGCCCACTCCGCCGCCGCGCCGCCGCGCTGTCTTATTGACACGCGACTGACGACTTGCAAGTCGCCACCACTGTTCCCGACCTCGCTTTGCCGGAGTTATTTAGTTAATTAATACGGAATGCCCTATCCTAACTCCCGCCAGAGTGATGTGCTCTCGCAGCGGCACACGGCGGCGGCGAGGCGAGTCAAGCCGCCGACCAAACTTTAATACCGCGCTTCATCCTCCGCTTCGTTAATTACGTGCGTCGTTGGACTTGCGACTTGCCATGTCAAATAATCTCTAATCCAAATTACGTCATTTAGCAATCAAAGTTTTAGTAAATTGAAATGTTTTTTTCTTTACTTTTGCAATAACGACTGTTAGGCTTCCACTCCGCTCCAATTACGAACTAATTATTTCGTAAAATAAAATCAAAGTTTCAAATAAACTTGTAAAAGAGGGCTACGCAACTTAAAGTTCATGAAGCCTTAGAAACTAAATGTAATTCCAAAATTACTTGGGAAACATCTTTGTATGTTCGTTTCTTAGTAAATTGAATGTTAAGATTTGTTGCTTAACTTCATCGTAGCTACTTGCTACTAATAACAATTTTATTTACACTAGTATGTTTATCAAAAAAGAAATTAATACAAATCCAACTGCCTAAACGACTTGGTATCGTTAATAAGGCAGTTTGTGGCCGCAATTTAAAGTTGACATTTCAAAATGTTACAAGAAAAAAAGACATACTTTCATACGCATCCAATACTTCTACCGAAGTAGACACTGTTTTGAAATCCGTCATGTCTAGACATTTTAAACTAATATTAGAAAGTGTGTTTAAATATTGACAAAATGGAACTGTCAGAATATGGTGTAGTAAAAAATGAGAGCGTGGAATCCAACGTGGTCGAGTGTCGGTTGTTCGAAGGCGCAGCGCGGCGGAGCGGGCATTGTGCTGTGGACTTTACAGTCCCTGATTCCTGGAAGGGATGGCGGTATCTACCTACGCGGGTGTCTTTAGTGACGTCACCGCACCGCCCGATACCGTCGCACGAATTCCACATCTTAGGCAAACGTAAACGCAACAAGTGATTTTTTAAAATGAAATACTTACGTTATATTCGAAATGTATGTTAAAATCGGTATTACTTTATTAATGTATGTGAAAAATAGATATTACGGAGAGAAGGAGATTGGGTAATTTACCATTAAATGTCTTACTTAACGGTCGTTGCCAAAAATGCCAGACGATCTAGATTATTCGAAAAACGTTTAAATTTATGTAGAGTTAGAAAATAAAATTTAAGTTTTTTTTTTATTTGAGGCTCAACTCATCCAGTAATTAATAAAAATAACATAAAGCCGTTGGATTTAAAAGATGTTTGTTCCAATTAATGTAACTTTAAAAGCTAATGAAGCGCTACTCGTATTTCTTTTATTTCTAAGTCGTTTCTTTTAAATGAGTGGCCCTCAGTAGTTTTGTGTAGACGCAGTAGTTGTGTACAAGCAATTGCGTTCCTTTCAATTGTTCTAACAAGTTTTTAAAGAGTGAACGCTAGGGTACCGTTGTTAGAACGCGTAGTACACTCGAGTGCAAAGTTCCTATGTTACATTGAAGCTTCGCGCACTGGCCATTGTGCCATGCGAGTTTTACACGAGAGAGTAACAATGCAACAGAGCAGTAAACAGTACAGTGTTGCAATTTAAGGCACTCCGGTACCGAGCAATATTGTTTTTAAGAGTTTGTACAATAGGAGTACTGCACTATCTATTGCTCTACCTCACTGGGCGTCCTGGTGTGAAACTGACAGTACGCCCGCGCACAGCTTACAGCATTAAATAGTAATACGCGTGTCTCGTTAAAAATTTAAACTAGAAAATGCGTGCAACGAGAATCAAGTCGTAAGTTGCAACGAAACTCTGTAGGTCTTGTAGTGAGTTTCAACTGTCGTAACACATCTATGAGGACATTGTTGCTATCTCTTTTTTTCAATAAGAAATAAAAGGGGATATTGATGTTATACATGTGTTGTGATGGAAATCGCTACACAGGTCTATGTTGCGACTAAAGTTTTATTTACGTCGTTTTAGTAATTTACAAATATCTTTTTTGTTTTGCAATGTTTTTATTGCTGGACATAAACGACAACTAGCTAGATAAAAAATTAAGGTTAAACTGGATAAGATGAAAGCTTGAATGATATTTATTTGATGAAGCTGCTTGTTAAACCAAGATCAAAGCTATTATGAGCCACTTTAATAAATGTTTTTTTACAATAAGCTTTTCTTAAGTGTAGATTTAAAAAGTAATTTGAAGTATTTATCTTTGACATATTTTCAACTTTTGATGTTTAGACAATTACACTTAACACCAACTTTAAAACGATAAAATTAGCCTTTGTTTAAGATTATTGGACTTTTTATTAGCGTCTCTAAAATTTGATCTAACAAATAATACTGTCCTTACTTGCTTGAAATATTTCGTTCGCTAAAAATAGCCTGTCGAGTCTGTCAGCAGACAGCAGTGAACCGCACAATACGGTCCCTTGCAGTTTCACTTTCATTAACAATCCATCAATCATATCGCGGCCGTTTGATGCGTAGCGCTTCTACCATTTGATATTCCGCTTCGTTGCCATCATTCAACTTTTTGTCCCGTATTGCTCTCTTAATATGATTATAATTTTCTCGCATCTGCCACACTGATTTCTCGACTAAAGGAATTTTAACTGTAAATGTGAAGTATCAAGGTCGATTTCAGTTTGGATATGTATTCTGTTGAACGAGGCATCGGCTTCCATTGAGTGAGGACCGGTTTGGTGGTGGAATGCTGCGGTGCCAGCGGCTTTTTGCCGCGGCCGTTTGGCGCTGCGGCCCACGCACGCCCGCCGGCCCCGCGGCCCGCCGGCGCCACCGCTTCCCGCCTCTGCGCTGACGCCCGTAGCCCCTTGCACGATGCCCGATGCGAGATAAACGACAACTCGCAAACATTTGATGTAATTCTATATTTTTAACGTTGCCTTTCATACAGGAGACTAAAGATCGCGTTATTTTTTATCCCGGGATTCTGATTTGTTACTCATGACATGCTGTCATTTTGTATTAACAAGGATTTTTTTACTCGTTATGGGTATTTGAATACATTAATTTGCATCTGCAAATTATGTGTCCGCCATTGATTCACAAAAAAATAATATCTTCACAGCGTTCAAACTTTCAATACTTTTATTTTACATTTTTCATTACATATAAAACCTCACTACATCAACTGGTTATTTAGTTAATTAAATAACAAAGCGTATTACAGCAGCTAGTAGCGAGCTGTGCAGGACAAATCCTATCACAACACGGGGCCGTAATCTCCGTCACTAAATAAACCTGTTGTCCCGCCGCCGCCGCCGCTGCGAGGGCTGCACAAATACGCCGCGATCATGACGCCATTAGCTTATTGCAAGCTGTTTACACAATCTCAATTGCAACTTGAACCTGCGACCTGGACTAGAGATTCAACCACTTGCACCACAATGGAGCTTAAGTTAAATAATTGTGAAGGTTTTATCAACGGCTATAGTCAAGTGTTACTTGTATTGCAGCTTGTGAGAAGTATTATGTCTAAAGGAGTATTATTAACATTTTAATGAATATATTTGTGGTTAAAATTTGTTAATAACTAGTACAGTATTGTTTAATTAGGTAGAAGGTAGTAAATAGGTTCATCTTTAAATCTTTCTAACGTGAACAAAAAACGTTGAAAGCAGACAAACAATTATTCTCAACCGGCACCCCGCTCAGGCCCCACGTGAGAATAAAAAGTTTCATCCGTTCCACCTTTTAGTCCCACTATCACCAATAAGGTGACAGTGGAACTGTTATCAAATAATTGTCTCCTCATCGCAAAGGGTGGGACGGATGAACCTTTTTATTCACATCTGTGTTCACGTTGGGACAGAGCGGGGCGACGGTAGGGAATAATCCGACAAAAATAACATACAAAGCTAAGGTGGAAAATTATGTTTGACCAATGTGCTATTTTTTTAAATTGACGCTAAACATGAAGTAGTACGGTTTTTAGACCCTGTGCCTAAAACTTTCCGTGTATTATTATTAATTTATCGAATTCTTTTGTTTCAGGATGACATTCTCCTCATACACGGCACCGTTTAGCTAACTATAAAGGTGAGTTATTTTATCTCATTTCTATTACTTACTTCATATGTCAATAATTTACTACCAAATGTATCGAGTATTCTTAAGAATGATATCGTTATACATTACAGAAAAGTGACTAGATCATTTTTAAATGATAATGTCTGTAAATCAGGCAACAAACTTAGTACCGAATCCTGAAAAATTCGGACACCCAGGAAATGTGCAATTAAGTAAAAAAATAAGGGGAAAAATACATTGGATTTAAGAACCTCCAGCGTTTTTAATTGGGTAAAAATGTACAAGTATTGAAACACATAATGTTTCGTAAGTTAATGTCAGTTCGATATCTATTTTTGGATTTAATTCTTGAGATATCGCTAATCGGACGTGACTTTTTGTCCGAGAGCAGGTAATAAAATTAAAATGTACAAATTCTCTACTAGGTCGTATTGAGAATAACAAAATACTAATCCATCATCATACATGATTGACGGACGTTTACCTTTCCGCTCGTGTAAATATTTCCACGCGTCGGTATTTTTTTTTGTAACGAAACACGGAATTCCAAAGTGCTGAGTAGGTTGGCGATTGTTTTGTTCGTTAGTCCTATAAATGTGAGTTTCCACTGATGAAACACGTACAGAAACATATCGCGATATTGTATTTTGTAAAGGGTATGAAAGGGATTAGATTGTGTTTTCTATAAGTGTTTCTGGAGTGGAAACCCACCGTGTAATGACTGGTTTTCCTTTTTTTTGCTGACGGCACAGTTAGTGCTAGGAAATTAATTTCGATTTTAGTTCACTTGTGACTGTTATATTTTTTGAATGGTATTTTTTCGTCACGATTGTGCTGCATTGCGTGATTTTTGTCGGTTTGTGTATTATCACGTGACAAAAGTAGTAATAGCTTGGTTTAAAACATTGTTTTTTTTTATAGATCTTTTGATTAAAAAGTATCCATTTTAGCGATTCTTTCATAATATCCACCAGGTATATAGAATAGCTTACATTATGTTTTCTAAGGTCCTCATCCAATAACCGAGTGGCAGATTAAAGCATTGTGCGGCCGCAGAGTGGACAAGACTTTTATGATCAGATAATAGCTTTTCATCGACATTATTAACTTGCTACAAAGGAAATTTGATAGAATAGATACTACAGAATAAAGAAACATTTAATAAGATAGAAATTGCAACGTGAAGCGTAACCGAGGTACAGTCGAGGAGATTAATTTCCTACCCATGTTCATGAAATCTCAAGATGCTCAAAATGCAATCGAGAATACTATTCATATAAACTTAACTGATAAATTTTAGTACCTATAGTGACTCTGCTGTTCGATATTCGATTTCAATTTCGTACAGTTGCGGAAACCCGTGGTCTTCTACTTACAGAAACATTGTCTTGTTCCTAACAACGTGTCAAACTCCGACTCTTCTTTAAATAACCAATTAGGTGGCAGTATGTTGCGCAAATAACAGATAATAAAAAAACATTTAAGTTAGCCGTATGCCTATTATTGTTCTGCGTCGTCTCAATGCGTACAAACATTCAAACGAATTTAGTTTTTAAGGTGGAACGCCGCCAGTTTCCCTGAGTGTACTTACTTTAAGAAATGTGCAGATTTATACCACATATGGAATATATCTAGTTAAGACAAGAAATATGCACTCTCGTATCTCAGTCCGCAATATGATTACGGGGAACGTTTCTTCGAATGCTATGTAACAAATTAGATTTATTCTACCTTTAATATTATGGGGAACTCTACTATAATATGATTATAGTTTCTCATATTTTTGTAGGTTTTTCACTGTTTTGAAATGTTGCTGTAAGTTTAAATTTGTTTTAGATTTAGTCCTCATTATTAATAGATGTCTTTTAGCAGACGTGGTTGTATCGAGTTAATTGAATAACCTTTGAGGGATGCCAAGGTAATAGGTATTTAGGTATTCACTTAAAGATTTACTAATCTAATGATTAAAATCCAGTGATATAATTAAAAAGTGTGGTTTTCATATCAGACATGTGTTTGAAAGTCTTTAAAATAACGAATAAAGCGGGTTCTTTTCTCGTAGTTTGCTAACACGATGCTCGTGAAAGAGTCTGCAGATTTCATTCAGCATTTAATTGAAGAAGAGTATAACGCCTTATTCAAAACAAGCAGAAAACCGAGGAAAAGTAAAGAGAAAATCTTTTTATTTGTATTCGCAAACGACACTCATCAGCAACAAAGCGCTTTTGACTGGCTGCACGAGGAGCCGAGCCGGCTGCAATATTTCGCGGCGTTTAATCGGCAGCCGCCTCCTGGCCGTCTGTTGCGCCTCTACTGAGACTAGCGTTGCGTTGCCTTGCCTTGCGTTGCATTGCGCCTACCGTATACACGTCCGCACAATCGCACCCGCTCACTTAATGCTATATGTGCCATTATGAGCCCTATTCATCGCAATGAAAAGGATAGAATTCCCTCGGGCGACGCCAACGGATTTAATATATCCGTGGCGCGGGTTGTACTCCACAGCACTCGGCTTTCACGTCTCCCTCGACCGGCATTATGCCTCTAATGTCACTTAATTTGCCGTCTAGGGCCTCCTCAGGTGAATGCAGCCTACGAGAGCTGGTTTAATATAAAAATTCCCTCGTTTTTTTCCCCGTCACGTGAATAACGTTATACTGTTGCCTCTTTTAAGAGTAAACGTGTAGAAGTAATGGGATTACATTGGTGACGAATTTAATTGACATATATCGGCATTAAAAGAAATTGGTGTCAAAAATTCAGATCGATCCTTTGAATGAATGCATTGGGCGGTGCCTTATATTGTAGAGTCCAGTCGTCTACAGTAGGCGTTACGCATGATAAGCTGATCTAATAGTTTGTCATCAGTTGAGTGGTTTTCGTGCATTGGATTTGCAATTGTAACGGCGGCGGTGCGGGGCATCGTAATGCGGCCGCAGCGTGCAAAGCGTATGTTGATTAGGTTATTTAAATGCTTCATGCCACAACGCGAGAAAATTCTATGCATTTATTTTACACGAGAACCAACAATTGCAGGACGGTTTTAATTTTTGTTTATAAACGTGAAGTACCGCTTGTACTTTGGAATCGAGTGCTTAATAGCGCTGCGTAATTGTTGCACCATTTTTGGAAAATTTATGTCTGATATAAGGTATTTACTTTATAATGAATTTTAAATTTAAAGATTACGTATAGCCGCTTGGTAGATTCGAAAAGAATGAAGCAATTTGTAAGATGGAACTGTCTTTATTAGGAAACGCAGCTGCCACTAAAAGATTGGCATTACAGAGAAAAATTGAAAAAGAAATGTTTTATTCAACTCTATTGGACAGGAATACTTTTAAATTACGAAGACGGGGCTTTACAAATTGAACGGATATTCGAATGAAACGCAATTATTTACAGAAATCAAAAAAATGTAAAACCATTTACATATACCAAGATAAACTAAGAAACTACAAAACTACCATGATAAGATTACAGCAAGAATAAACATACTTTAAGTCTAACCGGATCTTTTTTAACACCCTCTTTATAAAATCTTCGCCGATTTGTATTTTTTTTGCATTGAATAATAATTATTAAGCGTTATTGTTATTGAAAAGGGTTGTTGTTGACAGGAGAGGACCCTTCATTTATCTATAACAATAAATATGAGTATCCGCGCAATGAACGTCATCCGTGTCGGTTGCAGACGCGTGTTACATTGGCGGGACAACGCCAGGCCCCGCCAACTCCACTACTCTTTGTCATACCTGATATTGTTAAATGAATTTAAATATTTTAGAGAGTTTTAAAATTTCATTTTTTTTAAATCAATTAACTATGACTCGTTTATAAATAAATATTCGAGTGAGGTGAGGGAACGTCATATTTCTTATAATGTAAGCTAGTGCTAGTATTAATACATATTAAACCAGGACGTTATCCAAAGCAGACGTGTTCATTATTTCGCTTCCCCGCACACCATACCTCACGAGTACTAGCTGTTCCCATGCGGCTTGATCCGCATGGCATTATTATCAATTGACAATGCCAATATTACTGTTACTATAATAACTTTGCTTCCTTAATGTTGGCAGCTTGTAGTTTATGGTCCGTTTCCCACATGTTTTTTTTCCAATTTATTTACCCCCTATCTTTAATAGCGGGATGCCTATAGCTTGTAAGTGTTGGGCTTTTTATTAAAGAAAGAATTATTTAAAAATATGCTATGATTGCTGACGTCTTACACCACGAAGTAGTGTGTGTTTACGTTTTATTATATTAGTATAGATTACTAATGAGAAACTAATGGTTTCCCAGCTACGTTTAACCATTCGTTAGTGTTTTTGCTTCGATAATATCATGAAATGCTATTATTTATAATTTAAGTCACTCATAAAAAATGTTTTGGAATTCGATCATAAATTTTATGTAAATCCTGTTATTGTAGTTCATTAAAGCGGTTTTGTTATTTGAATGTCTAATACCTGATTTATTAAAACGGCCAAATCGGCTACGTTGTGAAAATAATTGAATACTGCATAATTGTCCGTACGCCTTATATTACACAAATTGAATTGTATCTTTTATTCATAAATCCAATCATCTGAGCCCACGGGTGGTCGTTGAAAGGCGCCGGAGAATAACTAGAATCTGCAATGCTTAAATTTATATCCCTCCGTCTCTTTTACTCGAAGCGTCTTTTCAATTTGTTAGAGAGAGATGGAATGTAAAAATTACAATTAGACAAGTTTTATTGGCTTTGTTAACTGTTTCTATTCCACCTTAACAAGATGTTTGGTTTGAGTTTCGGTCAATTGTTTCATATTTTTAAGTTAACAGAAGCTTTACTGTTTCTGAGTTTTATAGTTCGATTTAAATTAATTTCTATACCTTAATTTAAATTACTCAATTTTACTATCTCACTAATATTACAAATGCGAAAGTTTAGATGGATGGATGGATGGATGTTAGAGTTAGAGAACAGATCTCGTTGAAATTACGCACAGACGTAGAGGATAGCT